ATCTGGGGAATTCTACATTGGGGGAATCCAACCCCTAGTTAGCCCACGTCCATCCTTGGCCCACTCTTTCTCAGCCTAGTGTCATCCTGTTGACTTTCCCACTTCGGAGCAGCCGAGAAAGTGAAGGTACTTGAAGAATAGAACATGAGTCATCTCTGAGTAATACAAAAATCTTTTCTTATTGATTTTAGGCTTATGGCCAATACAGCGTTCATTTGGCACCATTCCCGCAACATCACTTCCGAACTGTCCTTTCAGTGCTCAACTTAAAACCCATTTTGTACAGGAAGCCATTTTTAAGTTGATAGAAAGAGAGGAAATCTGACCCTTCCATTCAGATACCAGTGTGAACAAGTTACTTTGAATAATCACCAACTTCTTGTGTTTGTTTTGGGATCTTGGATCTGTCATTTACTAAGTCTTTGTGACCTTGAAGAAAGTAGGGGTAATGAAACCTACCTCGTCGGGGGCTGAAGACTGAGTCCGCTAACTTCAGTGGAAATGCCAAGCACAGCACTGAATAGGAGCTCAATAAAGACACGGCTATGCTTTCTGGGCATTCTTTCTTTGCCTTCTTTGCCAGCACCCTCACCAACTCTGTGCACCCTCAGGTGGTATTGGAGAGTGATGTTTAGGAAGTGTGCATGGCAAGGATAAACTTGGAAAAGATTTATGTAGTAAATATGTAGATGAGAAGAAATTGTTCTCAGGAGATGGGAAAAAATGAATTTGATTCAGAGGTGGCAGCGAAGGTCTTTCTTTGCACTTCCTTTCCCCATTCATTTAAAATTGTATCTTGCCAAAAGGAGGGGACAGAAGGTCTCATCTTGATAAATGTAGAGCTGCAAAACTCTGTGCCAATACACCTGGTATTTATTCATGCCAGCTGGGAGAGGAGCTTGGTTCTCAGTGTTTTACTACTGTGGTTTCCTGGGCTGGGCAGCTGGGTGCCTAATAATGATAAAAACCATAATAATACTTCATAATTATGCACTGCCCTCTGCCAGACTTGGATTTAATTACAAAGACTATGATGGAACTGGCAACAGCTTGTTCCCTGTTGGGGTGCAGTACCCAAGGGCCTGGAGATCCGAAGTGAAGTGGTGACTGCTTCCTGCAGGGCCCATCCTGGCAACTCACCCAGCGCTCCTCGGGTCTGAGGCTCATCATGGGAAACAAAGAGTACTTTTAAGTTGCCCACATGCACTTGGCAGTAAAGCAGTATTTATGAAGCAAATGCTTCATGTGGAGGTACAACATCATGGAATCCCAGACCTAGAAGGTACCAAACCAGGTGGTATTATTTATAATCCCATCTCTTACCTCTAAACATCACTTCTAGCACACTCAACTAAGTGAGTTCACTGTCCTTGCCTTCTAATTTGGGTAGGTATGCTTTTGTGGTAGTCGGATTCAAGCACTGGCGACTCACCAATTTACTTAACACTCACTTGTGAGCACCTATTTTGAGCACTGTACAGGCACAAAGAAGTATAGCATTATTCCTGCTGGACATAGTGGCTCACAGCTATAATCTCAGGATTTGGGATGAAACAGGACCATCATAAGTTTCAGGGCTACAGAGTAAGACACCATTTCAAAAAAAAAAACGGAACAAAACAAAACAAAAAAAACAAACCATCAACTCTAAAAAAATCCAAAAAAAACTAAAAACCCTCAAGTTCCCCATCTGATTCTGATCTATGTGGAAGACTTTCATTAGACAGCAGTAACAGGAAACAGGACAAGCTCTCAGTAAATAAATGAACCAGGCCAGGTGAAAGCCCAAGGCAGTACGCTCTGAAGAGAAGAAGCAAGAGGGCCACAGAGCAAGTGCAGTCAAGAGCTGGCTAACAATAGCATGGGGGTCTGAGGGGTCTGCTAGGCCTCCCTTGTTTTAGCTTTTGTAATGCATATTATCCCTGGCTTAGCTAGTTATTACTTTATACTGCTTGTCTTGCCTCATTTAGCAGCCTTGTCAGTTCTGTTGACCATTAAATCTTGAGCCAATACTAAAATGCTCAATAAATATTGGTCTAATGATTAAATGGCACAAAAGAGGAAGTGACAGGGGCAATGGAGAGAGAGCATTTAGCAAATAGCCCAAGTAACACCATGAGAAGTATTAGTGTGTCAGGTAGCTTTATGTCACTACAGCAGCCAATTTAAGAAGGGAACAAGTTTATTCTGTCTCAGGTATGGAGGTTCCAATACTAATCTGGCGGGCTTATTTACAGGCCTTTCGTGGGGTGAAGGGCATGTACATCGGAGCATGTTTTTCTTTGTCTTTTGTTGCTGTGAAAAACATTATGACCAAAACCAGCTTCAGGGAGGGAAGGGTTTATTTAATCTTACAGCTCATCATTAAGGGAAGTTGGGGCAGGAGGAGGAGCAAAAGCCACAAAGGAAAACTGCTTACCGGCTTGCTCCTAGCCCGGACTCAGTTAACTACCTTTCTTATGGAGCCTAGGCACACTGCCCAGGGAATGAACTGCAGACATTGGCTGGGCCTTCTACACGATGATCAATCAAGAAAGCGACCATGAGTTAATCTGATCAAGACAGCAGTTATCTGAGGGGGATCTCAAATGGAAGACTGACTTATCTAGCTGAAGCTAACTGGAAGAGGGCAGGGGTGTACTGCAGAACAAAACTCCTCACATCATGGACAGGAAGGGAAAGAAAGAGATGAGGGTCTGACAATCCACTGTGAGGGCACCCAATAACCTAGAGCTTCCCACTTTCCATCACCTTTATGCCAGGGACCAAGAGTAACTCGTAAGCCTATGGAGAACATCACATATCCAAACGATAGCAGATACAGATGCTGGAGTAGTAAGAAAGAGGATAGAGGATGATTCTCCGGTTCTAGCTCTGGGGAAGAAGTTAACGTGGCACTATAAAACAAGAGGAGGACAATAGGAGGGGCAGGCTTTGTGAACTTCAGAAGGTATGAGTTCCAGTGTGGGAACATTACTCCAACAGACAAGACAAGGGTCTAAAAGTCCCTTACATAAGCACATCTGGACCCCCTTGACCAACTTGATTCTAGCTGACTGGTTAGATCAGCTAGTGAGCAATACAAAGTGTGGTCTGAGGGTCAGACCCTGGGACTTTCAAGGAGTCAACAGAGAACAGACATTAAAAATAACTGAAAAGGACAATCTGAGGGTGTACAGTGCTAAGATAGGGTGGGGGTTGAAAGAATATAAGAAAAGCCTTCAAGAAAAATGTAGTCTGCAGTCTCCACGGCAAGACATTAAAGACTAAAAGTGGTCACTAATCCCAATATTGAGCAGCTGAAGTAGGAAAACCACTAATAGTGGCCAGATTGGGCTACACAGTGAGTTCCAAGACAGCCTAGACTAGAGTGAGACAGTTCCAAATAAACAGGACTAAAAAGTGACCCTTGAACTTGGATGTAAGGATGTCACTGACAAAAGGAGGACCACTATCAGTAGATTCGCAGGGAGAACAAACCGTATTTGAATCATGAGGCAAACGGGAAGAGTATTGGAAAGCGGTCGTAGGTATCTCTAAGAATAAGTGGTCGGTTAGTTTATGAATGGTGACCAAGTTTCTAAAAGGCCAGCTGAGGAGTCTTGCGGGCATCACAATCACCCAGATGCTCTGTCCTCGCAGCCATTTCGATAGCGGGGGCGATCCACATAAAGTTCAGGCAGAAAGAGGGAGCTACAATACCCCTCCCCCCGGGTATGAGTCATCTTCGTGGCAGCTGAGAGGCTGGACCGAAGAGTTGAATTCAACGAGGTGCCCGCTTTCCCGTGAATACTGGAATTCAGTGACTTGGATGGCTCCATGCTAGAGGGAGCTGGGGAGACTCATTCACATTTTCCTACCCGGCACTCGTCACCTCCATTCAAGCAATTTCCTCTCAGTCTCTCTAACGGAGTCCCAACGAACATAGCTACTTCCCACCCGCACCTCAGGTTGACCTTCCACCTTCGCGCCTACCCCGAGCGCTCGCCGCGGCCACGTGACCCCCACCAGCCTCCTAGACTAGCCGGCCTCGCCCCCTCCCCTCGAGCCCTAGCCGGCTTTACTCCGCCCACTGCGCCCACGTGACAGCCTCTCTCCAGCCTGACTGGCTCCTCCCTTTTCGGCCGAACCCGGCCGCTGTCGCAGCTGCCCTACTCCAAAATGGCAGCCGCGCACAGCACGCACCCGCGCGGCCGGACCTCCTTGACTCGCCGGCCTCCCCTCTCTCGCTCCCAGCCTCCCTCCTCGGGCCTTCACCTACCCGCCTCTAGATTGGCCGACGGGAATCCCGCCCCTCCAGAGCCCCGCCTGCCATTGGTCACGGTAGGCTGCCCTTCAGAGAGGCGTGGCCCCGCCCCCCCCGGCCCCGGGAGGTATTTTCCATTCCGGTGGGGGGTTGGGGGGCGGGGGGAGGGGAGAGGGTGACGAGGGGGAGGCGGCCGGGAAGGGGTGGGGGCTGGCGGGGGCATCCGGCCGAGCTGGGGTCCCCGGGCTCTGTCCGGAGGAAGCGAGGCTGCGCCGGCCGGCCGGGCAGGAGCGGAGGACGGGATTCGGCGAGCGCTCGGACTCGCCCTGCCTCTGACTGCGCTGCCCC